CAGACTCCAGGGCACGTGAAGGTGAGGAGTGTGCTCTGCAGGACCCAGCCCTTCCTCCCCTGTCCTGAGGTCCTCATGCTCGGGTCGGCTCCCTCCGCTCTGACACAGCCCCCGGGCGCTCAGGACTGGTGGGCTGAGGGATAGGAGGGGAGAGAAAAGTGAACCAAAGGCAGAACTTGCCAAGCGAAGCCACTTACGCACAGTGCGGCTGGCAGCATTTCCATCCTACCTTTGCTGTCGCCATATCAGCCGGCTCCATGATCTCTGCTTGGCCTAAGGAGCAGTGTCACCATCCAGAGAGAAAAGGCAGAGTCACAAATGTCCACCCAGAGAGAACAAACCACCCCTCTGGAAGGTCAGGGAAAATAAGACACCAATTTCTCTTCTCTGGCCCCTTAGGATGGCCTCTACCGGGAGGCAGGGGGACAGGAAAGAGGCCTGGGGTCCCCGGCAAGTCAGGGGGCTGCCTGGCTTCCCACGGGTGCTCACAACAGGCTGAGTCGGGGGCGTCTCCCCTCACCTGGTACTTCTTCCCAGGAGGCAAGTGTGGGTCTCCCAGGGCTCCCCCTGCTGGGGGAGAGCACACAGAGATGGAGGCCCTGCCCTCCCATCACCGGGCCAACTGGTACCCACAGGTCAGGAAGAGGGGAGCATGTGGGCAAAGGCCAGCTGGTGGGTGCCGAGCAAGTGCTGGGGGTAGCAGGTAGGGAGGAGGCTGGGGGCCGGTGGGGGCGGGCGTGAGAACCTCAAGAAGGGGGTGCAGGCACTCAGATGGAAGCAGGAGGTGCTGTGCAAGGAGGCGCCGAGCGACAGAGCGGGAGCCCTGCAAGGCTAGGTCGAGAATGCAGAGGGAGAGGAATTTGCCGGGTGAAGCCACTCACCTTGCAATAACATTCAGACTGACTGAGGCCTACACAGGAGCCAGGAGCGGGCGGTTCACACCCCCCCACTCCACTCCCAGAGACTCACAGCCTCTGTCTAAAGGTACATGAGAGCAGCCCGCAGCTCGGCTGGATCTGCAGAGGCCCCTGGCTCTCTCGGAGCAGCCTGATTGGAGGAGCAGGATGACTTCATCCGGCCCCATTCATCACTGTAGGTTTCCTGCCCAGCAGGGACAGGCCGCTCGGCTTGCCGTGACTACAGCTTCCTCTCTGGCCCATTTCACTCTGGCAACCTGGGATAGGCTGTGTCAGCCAGAGGCCGCCAGGGGAAAGGGATCAGAGCGCCCCAGGCCCCAGGGCGCGGAGGGGAACAGGCTGCTCACGTTTCAGGAAGAGTGCAAAGCCTCCACTTAAATAAAACACCGTGTGTATATTCACTGTGTGTCCTGGCGGGTGCTGGCACCAACAGAAACACAAAAGGGCGACACTCCTCCACACCAGCAAGACCACTGACCTTCCTGCCTAACCTTTAGAGATAGTCTCCCAATCAAAGAGAAGAACTGATGGAAAAGCAGACCAGTATGGTCAGGCTCTCCCGTGAGCCCCAGCTCTACCAGCTCTTCCAATGTGCTAACCCGGCCTTGCTGTTAAGATCGTCAGATTCCTCAATGCTTATGGTTTCGGACCCATAAAATGTTAAGGTGGAAGGGACCTTAAAGCTTTGGCTCCATTTTACAGATGAGAAAACGAAGACCCAGACTGAAAGGGTCGGAGCGCCTGGGTGGCTCAGTCGGTTAAGCGTCTGCCTTCGGCTCGGGTCATGATCTCAGGGTCCTGGGATGGAGCCCCGCATCGGGCTCCCTGCTCAGCAGGCAGTCTGCTTCTCCCTCTCCCTCTGACCCTCCCCCACAGCTTGTGCATGCTCTCTCTCTCTCTCTCTCTCTGTGCTTTCTCTCTCTCATAAGTAAGTAAAATCTTAAAAAAACAAAAGTGAAAGGGTCAAAGAAAGGCCTGCCAACACTCCTTTCCCGATTCCAGACGGACTTACCCTCAGAAAAGGGGAGACCCTGAGAGAAATATCGCCCTTTGTTTACCCCCACCCCCTAATCCAGCTTCCAGAGCAGAGAAAAATCCAGCACAGCAAGGGTTAAACAGAGAGCTTAAAATATAAGAGAATTAAAAAAGGAAGGCAGTGAACCTGTGATTACTCATCTGTTCCCGCCTCCCTCTTCCCTCATTCTTCTCTCTGACCCCACTTCTGTTCAAGCCTGACTTCACAACAAAACTGTGCATTCAGGTAGACTAACAAGAGTTTCCCAAAAGAATGACACCACCAACGATTTTACCAGTTTCCACAGCCTTTGTGCGTCTGGCTTAATGAAAGAACAGTAAGAGTTATGACTTCCATTTGCCTGGAGCTCCGGGGCATTTTCAAATCTGCTGCCTCATTTGATGCAGGAACCGAGCGAGGTAAGCTGTACTCCCTCTCGAAGATAACTGAACTGAGATTCAGAGACTTTCAGTGACTTACCCAAGGTCACACAGCACAGCAGAGCTGGGATTCAAGCCTGGGTTCACTGACACCAAACCCCTTGCCACATCTCCCACCACTTCATTTTCTCCCCCTCAATCTGTCCCGAATTCCTATTCCCATTATCACAGACTCAGAGAATATAAAACCTCAATTAATTTAGTACTTCCCTTTGGGACCTCCTCCCCCCTTTTTTTTTGAAGATGGCAAATTGTAAGAAAATGCATTATCAGACATAGGGGGAAAAAATCCTGGGCATATCCAGAGGTTGGTGTATACATTTAGCAAATCTCCTGTGTCCAATGGAAACTGCTTTTAAAAAGAATCATCAGGGACTCCTGGGTGGCGCAGTCGGTTAAGCGTCGGACTTTGGTTTCAGCTCAGGCCGTGATCTCAGGGTCCTGGGATCGAGCCCTGCATCAGGTTCCACACTCAGTGTGCAGTCTGCCTGAGATCCTGTCTCCCTCTCCTTCTGCCCCTCCCGCTCATGCTGGCTCTCTCTCCCTCTAATAAATAAATCTTAAAAAAAAAAAAAAAGAATCAAAGATTCACTCATGTTCACTTTATTTAGGCAGCACAGTAGACCAAGACAGTTGACCAAATTGGTCAACTATCAAGATTAAAATGAAGGGGGGAAAAGATGCGTTCCTGGCTCCAGCCACCATAAGCACTGACTAGGTCACGTCTCCCTTACCTATCCCATCTTACTCTATTAGCCAAAGGGCACAAAAGTTCCATAAAGCCAAATGAAAAAGGGCAAGAGTAAAAGTAGGAGAATATACCATTTAGGCCAATGGGTTGGTTTTCTTCGAATCACTGCCCCATGGTCGTAGACACAAGTCAACCTGAAAAGGGTATGGGCACCGCTAGAATGGCACTGTAGGTACCCCATCGTACGCTGCACAAAAAAAGCCAAAGGCATGCGGACTCTGCCAGTTCCACACATGTCATCTCCGCTCGGAGCCCTGCAATGTGTTCCTTCTGGCTATCGCTCTGGGCTGCAGTCCTTTCTGTTCCTGGGCTGACAGTCAAGTGCACAAACAGATGGAGAGCAGAAGGCTAGTACCCACGAAGGAGGATGTTCTGTTTCATCAAAATCATGCAGAAATCGGACCCATGTTCATAGGACTCCACCCAATCTCCCAAATGACCAAACACCTCAGTCCTTAATGGCATCCAACTGTCACACAGCCCTGGATGGTGAACACAGCACACAGCAGTGAGGAGGGCTGCTTAGCCAGAAGCATCTATGTGTATTTTATATAGCAATTTATATGTCCTGAACTCCAAGCAGCAGGGAGAGAGCTGTTAGCTACAGAACGGACAATGCAGAAGACAGGGCAGGCCAGGAAGTAGGGGATAATGCTTGGTTTCAATGAGAAAGGAGGAAAAGAGTATGTCCCAGAGTCCAAAGATAATTCCAGGAAGAAAGACGGAAAAGAGACTGAAAGGGAAAAAAGGAAAGAAAACCTGATGCAGAGGATCTCATTAAGAAGCCACTGCACCCAAGACTGTTGAATCTCAGATCTGTACCTCTGAAACAAATAATGCAATATATGTTAAGAAAAAAAGAAGAAGAAGGTAGCGGGAGGGGAAGAATGAAGCGGGGGAAATCGGAGGGGTAGACGAACCATGAGAGACGATGGACTCTGAAAAACAAACAGGGTTCTAGAGGGGAGGGGGGTGGGAGGATGGGTTAGCCTGGTGGTGGGTATTGAGGAGGGCACATTCTGCATGGAGCACTGGGTGTTATGCACAAACAATGAATCATGGAACACTTCATCTAAAACTAATGATGTAATGTATGGGGATTAACATAAGAATAAAAATAAATAAATAAATAAACTAAAAAAAAAAAAAAGCCACTGCACCCAGAAAGGAATCTGTCTAAATAATAGAATAAATAACTCCTCTAGTCTACTCATTTGGTCTTTGAACTAGAGACCAGAAGCTTCTTCTGCAACTTCGTCTCATTCCGTTTTGCCTAATGTTTAAGTGAAAAGATAGATGGATAGAGAGATAGAGAGAGAGAGAGAGAGAGATGGATGGGACAGGGAGCTCTTTACAGTATCATTTATCATTACATCATTTTCTCTCCAGGGGAATTATTCGTACTAATTACTTTACCCTAGGTATTATATTCTATCTCCTTAATCACTGTACTTATGTAACAAGTTTAAAACCCAGATACCTGAAGAGAGGCTAGGGTGAGTTTTGGCAGAGGATGGGTAGGGTTTGGTGGGCTGTACGGCACCCAGTTCCCTAAGGACAGATCAGAGGCTGGACACTGCACCTGCTTCTTTCAGGAAGAGCCTCCTCCAAAGCAGCGGCCTCCTGGTGGGCGGGGCTGCAAGGAAGCCAAGCAAGGCTGTCTCCACCCCGGGCCAGATCAGCGTCCCCCAGCTGCACCATGGGATATGTAGTTCTCCGAGCAAAGAGCAGGGATGCCGCCGTATCCGCACGCTTATCAAACACGCAGCCTGATCGCTCGGCCTGTCCCGGGACCATCAACACGGGCCAGGCACCTTTGCCAGAAAGGTACCATTCCTTCTCTCCAGGGTCTGACTTTAAACAGAAGAGATGGTGATGAAACAGGGAGAGGTGCACGAACTACAGGAGCCCAGAAATATGAAGACCTCGAGAGGTCATTTGAGGTCTTCACTCCAAGTGTAGAGAAGATGACAGCTTCTCTCAAGAGGAGAGACAGAAAAAGAAAGAGGAAGGGAGAAAGAGAGGCAGACGAAGGGGAAAAGGGCAGAGTGTGTGTGTGTGTGTGTGTGTGTGTGTGTGTGTTCTCACAACCGTGCATGTCCGATTCAAGGGCTGGAAGGTGACTTCTCATTTCTCTTCGCTCGTTAACCATCCACACTGGAGAGAGGCAGTCGAGCATGCTGATGAGCATGCCTCTCCAGCCATTCTGCTCAGGTCTGAATTCTGACTCAACTGCCCACCATCTGTGTGACCTCGGGCAAGTTACTTAGCCTCTCTGTGCCCCCATTCCTCATCTGTAAGGCAGGGATGTTACTCAACTCACAGGCTATATGAAGGTAGCATACATAAAGGGTTTAAAACTGTGTCTTAAGTGTTAGGTATTTTTTTCTTCTTCTTCTTCTTATTCAGTGGCTCGCCACTTGTCTTCTCCTAATCCAGCTGACCCCTCCCCCCAGGGCATGAAATTTTAAGTCCCCTGCAGAGCTGAAGATGGCAGAGGTAGAATGGACAGAAAACAAGCCCACCTGCTTTTTTTAGATGAATAAAGACATGAAAATGGGAGGGGGGGGGACGACAAGACGATCATTAGAATAAGGGCAGAAAAGGAACAAAGACAAGAACTACAAGTGGACAATAAGGGGGACATGTAGGGAAGTTTGTGGAGTAAAAAGCCATCAAAGAACAATAAAAGAGTCCAAACAAAAATAAAAAAGGGGAGGAAAGATTCACAAAGAGAATCAGGGACATTTATCAGGCTAGAGGTGGGAGAAAGGAGACTGAGCAATTGAAAACTCAAAGTGGAAAGAAAGTTCCACGAGAGGATCTGACTAAAGCATCTGGGAGGAGCTCTGGATGGACAGAAACTGCCCAGCATGAGGAAAACTAGAGAGACAGCAGCTAACACTGCAAAGTTCAAGTCTGAAACCATCTTGCAAAGCGGGCCTGAGCCCTGGAGATCCCAACTGCTGCAG